GCTGAATCATATTATATGTCATATATTCATTAAAATGCAGACATTTAAGCGACTCTGTTCATTGATTTCAGAAACCTTGCACTATTTGCACCCATTAAAACATCACTTGCATGACTCATGCTCAATTATTTCCAACATTGATTACGTTTTTCTCATGTATGTCTTATGCATTTCTATACTGTTTAGGAAATAAGGATATTTTTGTTGGAATAGAGTAAAAAGTCACATCCATTCATGTATGTATCTGTCAAAAACGTATACAAACCCTATGCCTCTGCAATCATATCATATTAAAGGGGTCATATGATGCGATTTCAAGTTTTCCTTTCTCTTTGGAGTGTTACAAGCTCTTGGTGCATAAAGAAGATCTGTAAAGTTGCAAAGACTAAAGTCTCAAATCCAAAGAGATATTCTTTATAAAAGTTGAGTCAACCACGCCTACCTAAAACGGCTCGTTCTAACACGCCCCCACATGTCTACATCACGATGTGGGAAGATAACACTGCCCAAATGTTCAAGCAAAGAAAGAAGGCGTAACTTTTATTCTCGCTGTAGTATTGTTGCTGCCGCCATGACGAGACACTGGGTGCTTCGTTGTGAAAGCGAAACTACTTTGTTTGGCCTTCCAAAAGAGGACGATATCCGCTTCGTCATGCCTGGAGCTGATCCGTGCTGGTCGCTGAGGAAATACATCAACTTTGCGCTGTGGATCGCCGGATCGGCTTTCACCGTGGACGAAGCGGAGTCCAGCCCGGGGACGTCACATGTGGTTGCCGCAAGCCCGCCGGCCGCTCCTTCGTCGAATTTGCCGGCTGTGCCGTTCTCAAGCCCGCCGGCCTCCGCTCACTCTAGCCCTCCGTGTGTGAGGCCGTGTGTTTCGTTGTGAAAGCGAAACTACTTTGTTTGGTCTTCCAAAAGAGGACACGACTACAAATCAGTGGTTAAGTTGTATTTACAACACTGTTCCAGAACAGTTCAACCCAAATATTCAGATGTGTGCAGCACATTTTATGGAGGACTGTTTACTGATCCTGGTAGAGTAGACTACAATGTCGGCTGTACTGACTCACTGACTGTAAGTACGTTTTCATATTTGAAAGGATTTGCCACTGACGATTCAAACGCAAGTTTTGAGCAGTGTAGAGTAGCGCTTGTTTTTTGTAATTTCTCCGATCACAAATGCAGACATGGTTTTATGTTTACACGGTAAACATGCAACGCGATGCAACGCAATTGCGATGCAACGCAATGCGTAAAAAGACAGTATAAGTCATTATAATCCGCAATTATGACCCCACTGGATGCAACAAATGCCTCGTTTATAATGGGTTTTAATGTTTTTGTCTCATCGCTCAAGGCGAGGCATAGAGGAGAAACAATAATGTACAGTATGTGGAAAATAATGTGTTTTTTGAACCTTAAACCGCATAAACACATTTCATTACACCAAATACACAAAATAATGTTCTTTTTAGCAACATCATATGACCCCTTTAAGTGCTTCTTCTTTACTAAATAGCATTGCAATCTATAAGGCATCAGAAACACCTTCAATGGTATCAAAATACAATATAAATACTGTTGCAAATCCATGGAATTCACAGTTTTGTACTAAGATAGATCCTAAGAGACGAAACAGAAAAAAAAAGTAATAGTTTTACCAGGGGGCACCCGGATTTGAACCGGGGACCTCTTGATCTGCAGTCAAATGCTCTACCACTGAGCTATACCCCCTCGCGGTACGATACATGATTTCTGTACAATATATTGGCATTGATGTATGCCGTATCTAAAATACAATTAAATATGATTGTAAATCTTAATTTAAGCAAGTAAAAAATATTACTGATATTTCCCCTTTCCCAGTGCACAAAATATCACACCAACGTAATATGTGAGCTCTTGATTCGTTTCCCGGTATTTGCAACATCGACTACCGCTGAGCGCCGCCTAGTGATGGGAAGTCCGGTTCTTTTCCGCGAACCGGTTGTTTCGGACAGTTCGTTTCAATGAACCGGTTAAAAAAACCGGTTCATCAGTTCTTTTACGCCCTAATGTAATGACGTCATTCGCGATGACGTAATGATATCAAGTCTATCGTCCCAGGCCTGGATGAAAATACACATTCAAATATATAAAGTCAGTAATCATAACTTCAGTCAGTTAAAACATCATAATCATGATCTGAAAAGTTTACAATTAAGTTTTGCGAAGAACCGGTTAAATCGAACGATTCGTTCGCGAACCGGACATCACCGCCGCCAGAGTGAGAGACATGGCTGCTCAAACTCGAGCTCTCGTAGCGGCGCGATGGCTCGCGGACGCTGTCAAAAGCAACCGAGTGGGACCAAATCTGCGAATATTAGATGCATCTTGGTATCTACCTAAATTGAAACGCAATCCCAGGGCCGAGTTTGAAAAAACTCACATTCCCGGAGCCTCGTTTTTCGACATCGACGAGTGTTGTGACAAAAACTCTAAATTTGATCACATGCTGCCTACCAAGGGCGAGTTCGCAGACTATGTGGGTAATCTGGGAATAGGGAACAACACTCATGTCGTCGTTTACGATGCCAGCGACTTCGGCTCGTTCGCTGCTCCTCGGGTGTGGTGGATGTTTAGGGTGTTCGGGCACAACTCGGTGTCGGTTCTGGACGGTGGATTTAAGAACTGGTTAAAAGAGGGTCATGCAGTTACCGAGCAATATAGTAAACCAGAGCGTGCCGAGTTCAAGGCGTCCTTTGACAAGTCCTGGGTCAAAATTTACGAAGACGTTCTGAACAATATTAAAACCAATGCATTTCAAGTAGTCGACGCCAGAGCCAATGGAAGATTTCGTGGGGTTGAACCAGAGCCGAGGGAAAGTGAGTATGAATTGTTAGTTGTAAAACAGTGTAATATTGACTACTAGTTATGATTGCTAAAGCAGATTAGGTCTGGGAACGTATCCATGCATGTGTTACCCCATTTACTCTTTTGCAAAGACTTTGCAAACAGTAATTTTTAACTACTGATAGCCTTTTAATTCTCTGCAGTAATACAGTATGGGCCTACAGTCATACAGTGCCAGTGCCACTTCATCCAAAACACTTTTGTATGCTCTCTAACTTTTGTATAATTATTATAAATGCACTTTTGTGACCATATGGAATATTAAAAAAAAAAAAAAGATAACAAATAACAGCAGATTTCATGTACCACAAATGTATTATGTTGGCTTATTTCTTTTTGTTACACAATATCCCTGTGGAATGCCATGATATTGATTTAGCAGTGTTATTTTAATATAATTAATATACTGTTGTGTTATGTTCCGATTTTAAATTTAGATTTGTTTATGTTTCACTTTATATTTAGCTTAACTGTTATTGTTTGTGTTGTGTTTTTGTCATTTATACAATTTTTTTATGCCTACAAAGTTTTTGTTAATCTTTTTTTAAGTTTATTTTTTAGTTTCAGTTATTTTAGTACTTCAAGTTAAACTAAATGGAAATGAGAAATGTTGCTTTAAATGTTAACAAAATATCTTTTTTAAATATTTTATTTCAATTATTGTTTATTTTATTTTAAGTAATGAAAATATTTTTATGGTTTTACTTTTAGTTAACTATAATAACCTTGCTACTTAGTTAAGAAAAGTTAAGGTAAACATCTTAGGTCTGTGAATGCATGCATGTTACCCCTTTTACGCTTTGGGATGACTTGTGCATACAGTCATTTTCAACTACTGATAGCCTTTTAATTCTCTGCAGTAATAAACTAGATGGTTGTTAACATAAGCCCTGACAGCAGTGTCACACAGTGCCATTTCATACATACTTTTTATAATTAGTATACATGCATTTTGTGACCACATTCATATGGATTTCTAAGTTATTAGTGAAGTACTCTTATAGAATATAACACACTGAAGATTTTATGTACCACACTGTAAGACATAAAAAATGTTATAAAAAATGCAAAAGCGCCATTAGCTTTTTCTTTATCTTAGACATCGAGCCTGGTCATATTCCTGGATCGATCAACATGCCTTTTCCCAGCTTCCTGGACTCGACATCAGGTCTAGAACGTCCTGTGGAGGAACTCAAGAAGCTCTTCCAGCAGGCTGGAGTCGACATGCAGAAGCCCTTCTGGGTCACCTGTGGCTCAGGTGTGACAGCCTGTCACATCGCCCTCGCTGCTCACCTGTGCGGCCACCCGGGGGTCTGTCTGTACGACGGGGCGTGGGCCGAGTGGTTCATTAAAGCTGCACCAGAACATGTGATCTCTGAGGGGAAAGGAAAACAGCCATGATGAATGGTTTCTTAGACCCTTACTACACCATTTCATTGGAATAAAGAACTGCTGACTAATATAATCACAAGAGTTTCCATTGTATCAGAAATTATTGCATAAAATGGCTATTAAGTACTGCACTATTCTACTACTATTGCATATGCATTAAAGCCCCTTTTCTGGTTTAAATAACAGTTATATAAATCTAGGAAGAGAGTTACAAGAAGTTTATTATGAGATTATTATGCTTTACCAATTCATAAATCAGATGTAACGAACACAGAAGAAAACAATACTTCAGAATAAGTCTCTAGAATGTAATGTTAAAATGGTATCTTTATATTAATATAATTGAATTATTTTGCATTTAAATGTAATTGCAGACCACCGCCTTTATGAGGGAAAAATTAATCATCAGTAATGCCACTTATAATTTTTAGGCGATAGAAATTCAATCTTTACTATTTTAAGTTTAAAAATAAGCAAAGTATAATTAGTGACTGAACTCTTGTTCCTGTTCTCTTTATATGTCAGAGTTGAACTAATAAATACAAAATACTGTAAATACAAACGGCTCATGTCTTGTGTGCTAGTGTTTAAAACAATAAAAATAAGCCCTACACCCATGAGAGGCATTTTCATATTGCCCTCGTTGTTAAATTATCTCAACTTACACATAAATATATATAGAGCTCCTGCATGGATTGTCAAGTTTCTGTTTGTGTATGCCACACTTAAAATGGCCGCTTTTGATGGACGCCTATAGTCGACTTTGATATTGCCTGATGGTCCTGAGAATAATAACAAACCAACGCTACTCTCCATTCCACCGCCTTCATGGATAAACGTTGTTTGTCTACTTCCCCGACGTTTTAGACCAAATCTGGATGTAATTTTAAACCTATTATACGACCAGCTGGGCAAATTCACCTGGATTCCGAATAACGTTACAAGCTTTCATAATCAAACCGTCGAAATTCAAACGCTAGGTTGGGTCGTGAGGTAACGTTATTTTCCTCGCACGTTTGTCTCTTTTTAACGTTTCCAGTTTTTATTCTAGAGGTCGTTTTTTTTCACTGAAACAGTTTTGGATTCGCTGGAAAGGCATTTTAAACATTTATTTAAGGTAAGTCAGCGAATGCAATTGACAGCGAGTGACATATAATGCTAATAATGACATGATGTACGTTAGCGCTGAAAACACTAAAAGTCGTTCACCTAAATCTTTGTGTTCTATCCAATAACGTTATATTAATATAAGCCCTGCTATAATGTTTATTTATGTATTTACGGATGCACCAGCGACACGGTTGATGGTGTATATGTGTGTTTTCTGTCCGCAGGGTGGCGCTGTTGAGTCATGTCTGGAATTGCTTTTAGTAGACTGTCACAGGAGCGCAAAGCCTGGAGGAAAGATCATCCTTTTGTAAGGGACACTCATACACATCAGTCAAATGTTTGAGCGGAGACTTGCAAACTGTTAAATCAGTCTGTAATTCCGAATAAAAATGACTATTTTGAGCTATGGTATTTTGGTTGTTTCTCTGTAGGGTTTTGTGGCAGTACCAACCAAAAACCCAGATGGCACCATGAATCTCATGAATTGGGAATGTGCAATACCAGGAAAAAAGGGGGTTAGTATCCTTCTGAACAATGTTACACCCCTCTTTACATTATGTTTTAGATCAAGTTACACAGAGCTCTAAACAATGTCTCAATCTGTATATTTGTTTAGGGTATTTTTTTATGCTTATATGCATTTAACATTTATACTTGCATACTCTCATACTTTTATCATGCTTGTAATTATTTTATTTTTATTATCTGTCTATTTTTCTGTGTAAGCATACTTGCCAGTGCTTTGTTTTTGCATAAATTATGCATTTTATTGTTTTGATATAACATCTCCATCTAGCATGCCTGTGGACAAATGGAAATCCATGGTCTCTTGTAGTGTTGTCACGGTACCAAAATTTCAGTATTCGGTACCGATACCAGTGAGAATCCACGGTTCTCGGTACCAATTTCGGTACCAAAGCAAAACACAAAAAACATGCTAATTGAACAACATTTTTATTCTTGGTACCGAAATACCGGGTCTTTTGACAACACTAGTCTCTTGGATTAGTTCATAGATGCATATCATATCATATTTGAACTGTGAACCGAATAATGTTAAATGACAGGTTTTAACATCTGTATCTGTGTTTTCTGTATCCTGTAGACTCTTTGGGAGGGAGGACTGTACAAACTGAGAATGCTCTTTAAGGATGATTACCCATCTTCACCACCCAAGTGTGAGTTTTCTCTTCTACGAAACATTTTAAATACTATGTAGTGCTTATCATTGTCTTTGCCACTACAATTACAATTTCCTGTCACTGGTGCTCATAGACACTGAAAAGCTGAGAAATAACTGTTGTAAAGCTGAACAGTATGTTTGACTTGTTCATTTTCTTCTCAGGCAAGTTTGAGCCTCCAATCTTCCATCCAAACGTCTATCCTTCAGGCACAGTGTGTCTGTCCATACTGGAGGAAGAGAAGGATTGGAGACCAGCCATCACCATCAAACAAGTATGCAAAAACACAAATGTGTGTGCTTATACACTACTGTTCAAAAGTTTGCAGTCGGAAAGATTTTTGAAAATGTTTTTGATGTTCACCAAGGCTGCATTTATTTGATCAAAAATATGGTAAAAACAGTAATATTGTGAAATATTATAACAATTTAAAATAACTGTTTTCTATTTGATAGGGCTGGTCCGAATTAGGGATGTGCGCGACGACTAATTCGACTGTCGTTTAAATGAAAGTTTTGTATCCGACTAAAATCTATCCTGTCAAATCCCTCAATGAATTCCGCTTGCCGCACACTTGCCTCGCGTTATCATCATTTCATTTTAGGCGGTCGTTAAAAAGAAAAAAAAAAGAGGAGCATGCACTCACCGTCGGCCAAAGCATAGCTTATTTATTCAAATCAGCTGGGGAAATGCAGAACAATGGAAAATCAATCAATAGCCTGACTGAATTCTTAATCTTCATATAACATTAGCCAACATATTAAAACACAAGTCAAAAATAGGAAGGTTTATCAAGAAATAGCATTAAAACGGCTTTTAAAAACGTACTTCGTGTAGGCTATATCGTCTAAAAACAAAACAATGCAACAATGCCCATTTTACTTACTCAGACCATGCATTATTTGTTCAGTGAACTTATCAACATGGTCTGGTGAAAGACGGGACCTGAGGCGATTAACAATAAAATTCCTGCACTTGAAAAAACGCGCTCGGCAGGAACTGAAGTCGCAGGCACGCAGAGATAACGAAAAGCAAGCTGATAAGAGTTTCAGAAAGCGCCTGGACATCCCGCACCACCACCGCAGTGGGTCTTCGTTAGAGGAATAGATGGCGCGGATGGGATCACAGCGCCGGCGGGTTGTAGTGAATGACGTGATTGACACATTTGCTGACTTTGGCCAGCCTCTAAGCTAACGCCTACGTGCCTGTATTGATTATGATTACGCATCGCTCCGGTAGAGTTATTGTAAGACAATTTGACATTACACAGTTTACACAAAACTTTTCCGTTTCCTTCTAATTCAAAATAATCCCACACCTTCTCGTCTTTCGGATGGTCATTTTTGAACTCGCCGCAACTGACACGAAGAAAACGCATGTGAGGTCTTAGGTAAAAATGTAGTTTCCGCCCAGATAAACATTTAAAAATAATGTATTGTTTTTCAAACGTTTTATTTTAACTTATTTAAAAAAATTGAAATGCAATGTTAAAATGATGGTAATTTGAATGATAAAATCATGTTTTTGTTTTTCTGTCTTGTAATCGACTATTGTTTTCAGTGTCGACTAGTAGGAGCTATACCGTTTAGTCGACTAGACCCGCACATCCCTAGTGCAAATACCATTTTTTGAGCTTCAAAGCTTCGGTAGTAATCAACACCGAATATTCGAAGCTTCGGAGGGAGGGGGCTGAACATATTCTTCTCTCTAACACTGTCTACACTAAACGCGAGTGGCGCGGCATAAAAAAAATACAATAGAACCTATGTTGTCTACACTGGATGCGGCGTGGCGCGGCTGACAAAAGTCCCCGACGGTAAAACAGTAGAAACTGCAGCTGCGTTCTATTTATGACGTGCTGACACAAATTTCAAATGATTTTCAACGGTCGCTTTGTCGCGTCCAGTGTACTAGACAGACTTTAGCTGTTGTGGTGCAGACACGGTGTTACTCACCTATCGAGAAGAAACAAAGCAACCTCGGCGTCCGATCGCAGGCCTTCTGACGTGCTGACACAAATTTCAAATGATTTTCAACGGTCGCTTTGTCGCGTCCAGTGTAGACAGATTTTAGCTTTTGCGGTGCGGCGCGATACAACAACTGTCGCGTCCGGTGTAGACACGGTGTAATAAATAAAGGTAGGAATCTCTGTGCGTCTGTCTGTCTGTTTGCATTTTTATTATGTCGAGAACCTTCATATGCAGGTGTGTTGCTGCGGACCCAAGGGAGTGCAGTGTTGCATTTTGGTGCAATATGGACGCGTGACACGTTCAGAATGAATAAACTTTTAATAAACTACAGAACAGCGCAAGCCAGAAGCGGCGAGCCTCACGCGGGCAGGGCTTATATGCTTTGAGAACGGACACTGCACTAGTGATACAAAACACACAGGTCTGTTAAGAGCAATACTTTTAATATAGACAAATTATTATTAGGCTGGGCTACTGTACGTTTTTTACTGTACTGCCGTATTCGCAAGTATTTTCCAAGCAAATGAAGTGCACGTTTTTATCATGTGTAAAATTACTGATTAACATGGTGGATAAAAGCAGCTTTTGAACTCGCCGCAACTGACACGAAGAAAACGCATGTGAGGTCTTAGGTAAAAATGTAGTTTCCGCCCAGATAAACATTTAAAAATAATGTATTGTTTTTCAAACGTTTTATTTTAACTTATTTAAAAAAATTGAAATGCAATGTTAAAATGATGGTAATTTGAATGATAAAATCATGTTTTTGTTTTTCTGTCTTGTAATCGACTATTGTTTTCAGTGTCGACTAGTAGGAGCTATACCGTTTAGTCGACTAGACCCGCACATCCCTAGTGCAAATACCATTTTTTGAGCTTCAAAGCTTCGGTAGTAATCAACACCGAATATTCGAAGCTTCGGAGGGAGGGGGCTGAACATATTCTTCTCTCTAACACTGTCTACACTAAACGCGAGTGGCGCGGCATAAAAAAAATACAATAGAACCTATGTTGTCTACACTGGATGCGGCGTGGCGCGGCTGACAAAAGTCCCCGACGGTAAAACAGTAGAAACTGCAGCTGCGTTCTATTTATGACGTGCTGACACAAATTTCAAATGATTTTCAACGGTCGCTTTGTCGCGTCCAGTGTAGACAGATTTTAGCTTTTGCGGTGCGGCGCGATACAACAACTGTCGCGTCCGGTGTAGACACGGTGTAATAAATAAAGGTAGGAATCTCTGTGCGTCTGTCTGTCTGTTTGCATTTTTATTATGTCGAGAACCTTCATATGCAGGTGTGTTGCTGCGGACCCAAGGGAGTGCAGTGTTGCATTTTGGTGCAATATGGACGCGTGACACGTTCAGAATGAATAAACTTTTAATAAACTACAGAACAGCGCAAGCCAGAAGCGGCGAGCCTCACGCGGGCAGGGCTTATATGCTTTGAGAACGGACACTGCACTAGTGATACAAAACACACAGGTCTGTTAAGAGCAATACTTTTAATATAGACAAATTATTATTAGGCTGGGCTACTGTACGTTTTTTACTGTACTGCCGTATTCGCAAGTATTTTCCAAGCAAATGAAGTGCACGTTTTTATCATGTGTAAAATTACTGATTAACATGGTGGATAAAAGCAGCTCGTTTTTTTTTACACCAACAATATACTATAGGCGTACTACTTTTTCAAACTTGATGTGCTGTTGTGGTAGGCCAGTTTCAAATCGCATATTTGGCACACTGCCTTTGTTTTGTCCTCACTCAATTTAAAGTGCTCCCACACAGCTGAGGTCTTCGGCATTTTTGTCTTCTCTTCCAGATGAACTGAATCATGACTTTCATGACATTCACTCATGGGCGATTCATATTCAAGGGCAAATGAGAACCGTTTGGCGGGGGATGCCAGGTGTTAGGGAAAAAAAAAAGAATATTCGAATCTCAAAATTGAAAATCGAATGCCAACCCACCGACCAAATAATCGAATATTCTGGTCCAGCCCTAATATTTGAATATATTTTATGCATATGCACAGCTGAATTTTCAGCATCATTACTCCATGATCCTTCAGATATTATTCTAATATGCTGTTTTGCTGCTTCAGAAACATTTCTTATTGTTATCAATGTTGAAAACAGTTGTGCTGCCCAATATTTTTGCGTAAATCATGATTTATATTTTCCAGGATTCTTTGATAAACGTGAAGTTCAAAAGATCAGCAGATTTTTTTGTTACATTATAAATGTTTTTACTAGTGCTGTCAAACGATTAATCACGATTAATCGCATTCAAAATAAACGTTTTTGTTTACATAATATATGTGTGTGTACTGTGTATATTTATTATGTATATATAAATACACATGCATGTATATATGTCAGAAAAATATGTTTATGTATTAAATATATTTATATATAATATAAATTATATGAATATAAATATATACATGTAAATACAAAATATATGCTGTATGTGTATTTATATATACATGATAAATGTACACAGTACACACACACATATATTATGTAAACAAAAACTTTTATTTTGGATACGATTAATTGCGATTAATCACTTGACAGCACTAGTCTTATCTTTCACTTTTGATCATTTCAATGCATCCTTGCTGAATAAAAGCACTAATTTGCTAAAAACAACTTACTGACCACAAACCTTTGAATGTGTACAAGTTATCCATTATGATATTAACATTAAAGATCACAGTTGCTCATAAGGTTAGACATTTGAACAAACCTTTTAAGCAGTAAGCTTTTGTATCTCAATATGTTGTTGTGGCTGTAGATATTGTTGGGCATCCAGGAGCTCCTGAATGAGCCCAACATTCAGGACCCAGCGCAGGCAGAGGCCTATACGATATATTGGTAAGTGCAGCCAAATATCACCTGCATGCTTTTATATATGATTTTACCATTTCATCTGATACCATGCCTACAAAATTGATCTTATCTCTCTCTCGCAGTCAAAACAGGATGGACTACGAAAAACGTGTGAGGGCACAAGCTAAGAGATTTGCTCCTGCATAGAGCGGCACGTGCACAATCTTATAAAGATATTCTGCACAGATGCCAATCTGATGCTCCAGAATCCTTCACCACTCAATGAAAACCCCAAAACTGCAGTTGAGAGTTGAAATAAAGATTTGTTCAAGCTGGCTTCAGCACAGAACTGAATGAGAATGGGTGCAAAACAATTCTAAGATGAAAGCAACCGAGACAAGTTAATGTTGGCTGCTGATCACTGACCAGTGTTTTATATAGTGATGGTGAAATCTTGTTTTGTTTAGGGTTTTTTTTTTTTCTGATGAGGAAAATTGTTGGTGATCAGTCGCTAAGAAACAACTTTTACACAGAGCAGAGATGGTAAAGTTTTCTGTGTATATATAAATAGTATAAAAATATAAAATTATTTACTTTTATTTACTTTTTTACTGTTTCATTATAGTAATTAAAATAAGTGTGGCCATAATATATGTAATGAGTGTAAGTATACTTTGAAATAAAAAGATAAAGTGGTTGCTAAAAGCGTTGTTGTTATGTTGTTAACCGTTTCCTTTTTCACCTGTATCATCTTGTGTTTTTTTATTTTTGGCGTTTATAAACTCGTTATGATGCTTTGCCATGTTTGTGTGATGTTCATCATGCGGTCACGATTTGTAACCACTGATACTCTGTAGAAGTCAATTATTTATTAATATCGCAGGTAGAGTTTCGCCCACGCCAAACAAAACATGCCCAACTGCCGGTCGGTAGGTACAAACTTCCTCTTACTTTAACTATCCAAAGTCTTAATTCGGCTTGATTCACTTTGGTTTCAGGAAATGTGTCCAGTCACTATTTGATATTATGAACATATCATTGGCTGAAGTTCTTAAGGACTCATAACAGCAGGCAAACCAAACCTGGCATATTTTGATGTAGCATCAGCAGTTTTATCAAATTACTAAAGTGCTATGTATGTATTCAAACTGTTTTATTCCAAACTACTTGGAAATTTGAATCTGCATCATTTGCATTAACTTTGGTTACCATGCTGATAAATTGTACTTACTGATAGAAAAAGTAGAGGATGAACACCATCAGCAAATCAGAGAAGAGGAAGGAGAGCGGCAGTCAGGTCAGTTCTGAACCGAGTAACTTGTGTGTATCCAATGTTCAAAATTAATCACTAAGTTGATTATTTCAGAACACTGAAATGCTGTTGCATGAGGATTCCTATGCGACTCGTATCATCACACAAATGTGTATTTATGTGCATGTCAGGTGGGCAGAGTGCACTACCCGCAGGTTCCTCCGCTTTGTGCTCCTCACTACTCCGATACAGGCTCAGGCTGCACAGATGAGCACAGATCTTATAATATGATGGGCCACTATCTGCGTGCAAACATCTTTCCAGGTGTGTCTTGAACGCATAGAAAAACTGCATCTTTTTAGTATATTACATAACTGTCTATTACAAATCTTGTACTGTATGTGTCCACTATTAAAGGGCCCCCAGTTGTGTGGTCATCGCTGGTTAAGGACTCATATGCTCATCATCCTCTACCAGCATTTATCCATGATCCAGAGCACTGGCACGGCCACAAAACAGATCACTTAGGTAGGCTTGAAGATTACAATCCTATTCTCTCATTTCTCATGACTCTCTCTATAAATCAGTGGGGCCACAAGATATCAAAAAATAAATGTTATTTATTATATATATGTATTTATTATTATTGTTATTTAATTTTCTGGATTATGGATTTTCAATCTCAAAAAAATTGAAAACCACTGCTATAAATAATTGTTCTTTTTTTTTTTTTTTCATTTTCGGGAATAGTTTAATCTGTTCCTCATTATAGGATTTAAATGAAGATCTGGGCCCGTATTCTTAAATCTTCTAAGAATCCTCTCAGAGAGCTCCTAATTTAGCTTAAAGGGGTCATATGATGCGATTTCAAGTTTTCCTTTCTCTTTGGAGCGTTACAAGCTGTTCATGAATAGATAAGATCCCTGAAGTTGCAAAGACTAAAGTCTCAAAACCAAAGAGATATTCTTTATCAAAGTTAAGACTCTGCCACACCGCCCTAAAACGGCTCGTTCTAACATGCCCCCACATATCTAGGTCACTATGTGGGAATATTTGCATAATGAGCCCAAATGTGCATGCAAAGAAAGAAGGCGTGGTTTCAGTAACCGCAGTTAGTGTTGAAGCAGCCATGTCAGGGAGACGCTGTGTGTTTCTAGTCGAAAGCAAAAGCACTTTATTATCATATGACCCCTTTAAAGAAATTCTAACTAGGAGTCTTATCTTAAGAGTGATTCAGGACCAATTTGAGAGCAAATCTGAGCGAGGAAAAGACAAAAAACTTTCATTTTAGTGAGGAGGCGGGGCTGACCCCTTTGCTAGGTATGTCACATTCTTTTGAAGACTGTGAAGACTGTTGTCCAAGATGAAAAAAATAAGAGTACTATTAAATAGGGTCTATTTTTTCCGATTTTACCCTAATATACACACATATACACTAGTCAACATTTGAAGTGGATCAAAACCTTTCTTCAAAGTTGTCCTAAAAGCTAAAACCAAAATGCATTCTTGTCTTAGGACAACTTTGATGTACTTTTTTGATCCAATTCAAATGTTGACTACTGTATGTGTATATATATATATATATATATATATATATATTTTATATGTGTGTGTGTGTGTGTGTGTGTGTGTGTGTGTGTCACATACATATATAGGCCTATATGTAAAGAACATTACACATATATTTAAACAATTAACTTTTTTGTTTACATATATGTCTGTACTGTATATTTTTTATGTATATATAAATATATAGACATACAGTATATATTTTGAAAATATTTACATGTATATATATTTACATTATTATAATTTATATTATATATATAATATATAAATCGCAACATATTTTTCTGAAATATATACGTGCATGTGTGTGTATTTATATATACATAATAAATATACACAGTACACATACATACT